TGGGTGACCACAAACGCAATCACTCTTCTTTGGTAACAGCTCACTCAAGGAAAAAAAATATTGTTACCCAACTGGCTCTCATTACTACCCCAGAGAAATGACGCTATGCGTCATTTTAGTAACAGAGTGGATTTCCTCAAGGAAGTCGCTTGTGAAAAAGGTGGATTTCTATTGTTTATACAAAAATCAGTTGCAAGTTACGGTGCACTTGAGTAAACGGGCACTTACAGAGTGTTCAAAGCGGAGCACGGCACAGGATAACGATCAACTGAACAGGCTCGTCGAATTGCCAAATAGTACACTTGTAACAAGCGACTGACATGATGTGGTACAGGAATTTTTCCCATTGTGCTACAGGCATCAAAGACCTGTTTGAAAATACAAATGAATGGAAAAGTAGTTATTTGTGGTTTTATGCGCTACAAAGACGTGAATAAACACTAAACAGAATTTTCGACCCCCAATTCATTATGTTAGGTTAAAATGTATTCGGAATAAGATCAACGCGAAAAGTGAAGGAAAATCATTTGAAACGGACTGTCAGTGATTCGAGAGCATTAGGCAATTTTAATCTCACTCCATTTATTTGCTGAATATGACCTAGTTACCTCCGGGATGTAATTTATTCAAAACATTAGCTGTCCCTAAGCTTGACGTATTATTGCACAAATTGGTGATTTAGGTCATAAAATGTTTGACTAATTTTGTAATCGTATTTCAGAGAGTAACCGAGAAAAATTACATATTTTGCAAAGAGGCCGTTCCATTTTGCGGTTGCTCTATTGCAGGCATTACCAACAATATTCCCTAGAGGAAGCTCATTCAAAAAGGACCTAATATTTCCTGATGGGAACAGTATTATCATCTCAGCTCAGCAACAACCCGTAAGTCGGTTACCATATTCCAGATCAACGTACGTGCTAATGGGCATCTCATTCAATTCGAACATTATCGTACTCAGAACACAAGGTGGCCTGACCATAAAATCTCAATCAGAAACATCAATCGGAATATTTCGTGTTCCAAATACCATCTAAAATTAAACTGTCGATACGGAGATGTAAAATGTCATGGTTGTGGGAAATATGGCCACATTCAGAAGTGTGCCATCAACGGAAATGCAAACCTTAAAATTAACCTTAAAGATAAATTGCCTGTCCATGCCTCATCCATGATCACATATTATTTTCTTTGCTCATGTTCGGCAAGATAGGTAAGTAAAACAACCAGGCAATTGTCCCAAAGAATCAAGGAACACAAACCGGTCTGGTTGCCTTCAGGCACAAGAAAAACGATTTCAAGAGCAATCATAGTCCATCTTGCCGATACCGGGCATCAGGTTGACGATGACGCATTTTGAATCATCTACAAGGTGCCACCAAACCGCTCGAAAGCCCCCCGTCAACGTCATCTTGCAACATCCGAAGCCGTGGCCATTCGATTATTAAACCCATNCGATTGGTAAAATCACTCGCACTGCCTTGGCCACAACGTGACACCCCTCCCCCGAGATAGACATGACCTTTCCCATGACCCCGCGACCTTAACGCGTGACGACATGTCCACATCCTAATTATTTTCCCAACGTTGTTACGATCACATCCTCTCATCCCACCCCTTTCCCAACCACACACCAAAAACAATCAAAAACCACGAATCACAGCCATTGATGAACATTTTCAGTTTCATTTGACTATATAACTGTATTAGCCCGAGGAAGAAGTTGTCGAAAACGAGCTTGTTCGCTAAAACCATCGCGTTTTCTCTCCGTACTGAGATGGGAGTTTTCCATTATTAATCCATGCTGGTGATATTCCTTTTTATTGTTTTCCTACAAGAATTAAATGCATCCACTGCTCGTCTTGGTTTTACCTGACTTTGCACATTGGCTTAAGTAAAAGGGATTCCGAAATGAAAAACTCACACTGGATAAAATAATCGCTGTCGCATTTTCTGATCCGCTTGTCTCGATCGATCCATCGGGCTTGAGCCCGAGTGAGTGACTCAAACACATGTCCACTATAAGCCGATCAGTAATCTCACTGGGTCCTTGAACCAAGTCAGTATTGACCACGATGTCAAATGTACTGAGGGGGACAGAATAGAACAAAGAGTTGGAATTGTTGCACAATGGTTATGTGGCGAGAAATTCAGATGGTTCAGTAGAGGTTTCATGAGGCGACCATGAATCCTGGAGGTCAGATTCAAAAATTATCAAGCCATTTCTATTTCTGGTTTATTTAGAATGCAAAGTTATGTGGAGCTGAATTGAACTTTTTGATGTGTTCCATAGTACCTTGCTCTATAATACTGTGAAATTCATGATCATGATTACTTTTTAAACTACAATCTTTTAAGTGGCACATATCTTGTTCTTGAAATGTTGAGAGGCTAATATTCCCAGAAATATCAGCATGTTAAATGTGAAAAGCGACAGTGAATATATTACTGATTTGCCTGTTAGTTCCCAGTTATGCACTTTAAGTATGCTGATGATATTGATATTTTCATCATTGTCTTTAATCAATCCGAAATTAAAAATATAAGATTAGCGTATCTTGTCTTCCGACATACTTCACTTCATACGCCTTTCATTCTCAGTCTTGAAGAATGCCCTAAATGTTTCTGTACTTCAAACTGTATCCCATTTCTGTTCGAAAGTGTGCAGGTTAAAGGAAATCCAATGAGAATAATCATTCATCAAGTCAAATTAAGTCAAGTATTTCTTCACGCACCCCGAAAGCTGGATATTAAGTAGTTACTTAAGTGTTACTCTGTCATGTAATCTTCACTATTCTCTCAACCTCCAGTCTGAAAAGATATTTCTTCCAAGTAAGTAAGTTATGCAATGTTTGCACTGACCAGTCATGACTAGGGAAATTGGTCCAGCAGTTTGTTCCACCGATACTCCTTAACTGCTCTTCTGTGGTTTTCCAGTTTGCCTAAGGCCCACATCAAGTTACTGAGGCATCAACCTGGTCAACCGTGTTTCACAAAGTCCAATGCGAAGTCTGATAGACGAGATTTTGAGGCGAGATATCAGTGTTGTTTTGAAGTTTACAAAGATAATTTTTCGAGCAGCACCTAACTTCGATATACTGATCAGTCCACGTGTAAACCTCACCCATTCATTCGCCTTAATCCTCGAAGTATTCGCTATCGCACACAAATTCCCAATACTTTCATCTAGCTACGAGTATGATGGATGAAGTGAAGATTAGTTCTGAACCTGTCAGTTCATTCAGTAGTTATTTCAAATTTTTGTAACTTGTCTCCTTTGTTCTCATCTTTTCACAGTTTTGCAATGGCGGTTTCCGTTTTGTATGAGAGTATGTGTAAAACGTCCCGAAGCCTTAATACGAATACAAATCTAAGGCATTTTTAACACGAAATAATCTTATCTACCATGTCGCAAATCAGACTTAAGTGTAATCCTGGACTGCACAGGCATGCATGCGCACACAGCCATTCATTTACTACAAATGGATGTCATCCATCTACAGAGCCCCTTAAGATCATGTTCTCAAGTGCAGATTTTAATCGGATGATAATTACAATACTGCGCGCGCCCCTTGAACGGCTACGCTACAAGATCGCTCTAAAGTTGCGTTCTGGAATTTATATAGCCAACTGCTAAATATGAGTGCTTTAACCATGTACACAAAAGAATTCATGTTAAAAATTAAGGATGTTGTTATGAAAAACCATACTATCATGTTCGGAGTACAAATCGTCAGTCAAATGCAAAAATAAGGCAAACGCGGAAAACGCATTCGTGCCTGTTGGCAAACTGCTCTTGGTCGTACTACTCCCAGTAAGATGTCTGTGCCTACAACTGTGGGTAACAATGTCCGTTCTGTGTTTGACAATCTTCCGGATTTATCCTTCCTGCTTCAGCGAAAGGAATTTCGCACCTCATGTGTCTTGTGTCTTCAAGAGTCATGACTGAGTGGTGATGTGGACGATTCCGTGGTCCAACTGGATAACTTCGTCTGCTTTAGACTGGAGAGAGAACGGCGTAGGAAGATTTTAGGAGGTGGTGTGATGACTTACATCAATTCCAATTATTGCAGTACTTTTTAAGTATTCAAAAAATGGCATTGATTGCTTGACTGCCATCTGTCACTCATAATTTTCCCGCTCTCCTTTTATCGCCATCACTAAGTTATTAATTGCATCTCACTGTAGGTTATCAGACATTGCTACATTTTATGACCATTTCCTATCTGTTATTGCCCCATCTCTTACTTACAGCTTGTACCTTATAGCTGGTAACTTTAACCACGCCCCCTGCACCCTTTATTCTGTCAAAACCTCAGTGACTTGATTACTGAACCAACTAGGGGAACCTCTCATGTAGACCACATAACCAAAAATAAAGCTGCCACATTTTCTACCAAAAATTTATCTCCCTTAGGCACCAGTGGCCACAACCTGATCCTGAATAGACCTGAGATTTACTCACACTCAGAACATTTTCTTTTATTCGACCCAAACACATCATGTTCCGTCAGCAAGATCTTTCTCAAGACAATATTGCCTTGCGTGGAGAGTCTCCTAAAGTAGTTACGGATTGTTTTCCTTTAAACACAACAACAATTCCAACAGAAGTGTTAAACTAGGTTTTTGACATATGATGTCCTGTGATAACGTCGTTCCTTCAACAAGGCAGAATATCAACACATTTTCTTAAACATCTTCGCCATGAAAAGGAACGTGCATTTAAATGCGACAGGAGGGTCGAAATTCAACGACTATCTTTTCTGATCAAAACTGAAATAAGACGGTTGGATGCCCCTTAAGTAAGTCAGTTTTTTGGAACGAGGAACTGTAAATCTATGTGGCGTGGAATCAACCTACTTCGCAAGCAGAAGAAAGTGATTCCCAGTCCCTCTATTGATATTGAAAAACTGAATGCTGCATTGATTCATTCTTCACTCGACACACTCTAGTTGACTCTAGCTGACTCCAGTTCTCCGAACGGCCCATCACCTCAAGTGGGATGTATAAACGGATGTGTTCTCTCAAGGTGTTAACCACACCTGGTCCAGACAACTTAATTCCTACCCTTCTTAAACACGGGGCTGTTCCACTGTTTCACAGTTTTGCACAAGCTTATCTTTCACTGGAAATCCGAACTATTCTGGACTGCTGGCGTCCAGTGAGAAATACTCCCATCGCCAAAGGAACGTCAAAGGCCCCATTAACGAAGCGTTACAGAACAATTGCTCTCACTTCCACTGGTTTGAAATCGATGGAGCGATCAGTTCTGCATCACCTTCAGTTATCCCTGACCAGTTTCCATACAAACATAACCACTTTAAATTGGATGCCGTTTCTTCTCTAGTTCATTTCATCTGTAATTCCTTTGAAGAGAAAGCCAAATATGCGCACTGTGCAATTTTTGACTATTCTCTCGCTTTTGACTCGGTGCCCCGTTCTCTTTTACTTAACAGGCTCCGATCTTTGGCTGTCCCAACTTTCCTCTTGAATGGCTTACTGACTACTTTTCACGAAGGTATCAATATGTTCAACTGGAAAGACGACAGTCAACCGCATCACTCAATAGTTCTGTGGTGATCCAGGCCAATGAAATGATGCGTACTCTGGAGCGACGCATTGTGTTTTTTGACAAATGCGATCAATCACATTTCACGGTTGACGTCAACAAGGCTCGTACGTGTCACTGCTTCTCAGTACATACTGTAGGCAGATCATACCAGGCAATCAGAGACCGTGCGGGCCAGACAGGAAGAGAAAGATGCGCGCAATACTGGAACACAATTGGTAGAAGCCCGGATAACCAGTGAACTTACTTTGTACATATTATTTAATTCCCATTGTTCCTTCCAATAAATGAACTACTACTCCCGTGGCCTCTTCTTCGCGCCTCAGTTTCGTGGGNGTGGGACCTTTCGTGCTAGCGCCCGTGAGGTCCTATGATTACGTGATCTAGTTGGTGATTGCTAATCCTTGATTTGTATTCCGTGATCTGTATTGCATGATTCGTATTCCTAGTTCAGTGCGTATTACCATTAATACTACTACTACTACTACTACTACTACTACTACTACTACCACTACTACTATTACTGCTACTACTACTACTACTACTACTACTACTACAATCACTACATTTTCGGGTGTACTTCAAGGTACACATTGACCTGCATGCATGGAAATCTCATCCGTTCACTCCTTCTAAGTACGAATTTTTCCCCTCTCGCATATCTGTATACAGAAACCCTTTGATAACCTATATTGCCTGGAAACTGACCGACAAGCGCTTTATAATGCACTTAGCAATTAACTCATATTTTTGTACGTCTTACGTCTCACTTTTTTTATCTCTTTTTTACCACAATTGTAACGATGATCTATTTTTTGATTGTAAGCTAACATATAACTCGATAAAGCTTCAATACAATACAGTACAATACAATACCATACGGCAAACACTTACATACATATGATAAATAATCGTGATACTTGGTGTACACCTTTCAATAACAGACATTTGAGTTTAATGGGGCTCAGTGTACTTCATGAGAAACACCAAAATCCCCTGGGAGATACAACACGTGTTTCAGCACAACGAATAGATACAAGAGCTTTAGAGCCCAATTATTATTTTAAACAAAATATAATCAATAGAAAAAAATAACTAACGAGATTGCCTTTTGCAGTCCACTTCTTCGGGGTAAAAGTTCCACTGGTAGTTGAATCGGATTATCCGTTGTCGAAAACGCATCATCTTCGGCGGATTGTTCATGTGACTTTAAGGCCACAGTGATTGGATTCAGCTCACAGGTGGCCCAGACAGATGCCGTGGTTGAGTAGATGCTCTCTTCCTCGGGTGACTTTGTGACACCTTCTGTGTATTTGGAAATTTTAAGGGCTCCGGCTGAAGTAGTTTCAAGTGCTGAGGGAACGAGAATTGATGGGATCTGTTATTAGCGATTCTGTAATACTTGGAAATTTATGTGGTGACTCAGAACTAGTTGTGTGTTTGCATCGAAGTGAGTTTGTTTTAACCGAATTCATCTGGACGCAGAATCTTTAATTGGCCCAGTCAACTTGACTAACACAGAAAGCACTATAATGATCTATTGTTTGCACTGAACCTGACTGATCACTCGTTTATATCCTTCGGCTCATCCAGTGTCTCATTGACCGGATAAATTGGACATAGAGCGTCGAGAAGAAGTTCAAATGTTAGTTGATGTAAAACTGAATGTATCTTATTCCACAGCGCAGATATGATTAAATCCCTAAATAACTTCACATTACGGAACCGATTTGGAAGATCTGACCTAATGTGAGTAGTTTTGGGCTTCAAACCTAAATGAATGTCCATTAGTGATGAGCTCTAACAAGGTAATAACATCGGCGTGGTACTGACTGTGTGACTGGAACAACTAAGGATTGCACGTGATGATTAAGTATTGAGAAAATGGCTGAAGTAAGACATTATTTCGCGATCTCACCGAATTGGTGAATAGATTCTTGTCCAGGATTCTTGATGGATCTAGAAGAAATTTCGATCAAAATTTGATGAGAACTCCTAAAAAAGAAACAGATTTTTCATATTGAGGAAAAGTTAGCTTGTCTCAGCCACGACGAGTGAAAACCAAAACACAAGGCGTTGGTGACAACGGCTTGAAAAAGGCCTTTCAAGAGAGTTGAAACGTTGTCACCAACGCCTTGTGTTTTGGTTTTTACTCGTCGTGGCTAAGACAAGCCAACTTTTCCTCAATAATCATGAGCACTATGCCCAAATTTTTCAATGAGATCCGTTCCATCCATGGATCTCGTGTGATTAACATTATCAATCATCAGATTTTTCATATCTTTCTTAACAGTATTTTGTCAATTCAGACGTGTTTTACATAATTACTTAGCTGGCCAGGTTAATTGCAATTACTTTGTAAATTTTATTTCGTGTAAACAGAGAATGAAATAGGAAAACACAGTTATTTAAGGATTAAAATCACAGATCCTAAACGGAATTTAAATAACACATTGAAACATTATCGATAAATAAATGGAATAATTCCTTTACACATTTCTGTACTGTGTACTGTATACTGACTGTTGCTGAGACTGCTATCGCACCACCAACTTCCGAGCCGAAGAAGAGAACACAATCGAAATGGCACAGGACAGTATATTAGAAAAAGCTTGTTTTCCTTTCGTTCACTGGTTGGCATTCGTTCTACTTATTGCGTCCGGTGCGTTCTGAACATTCGGTATAAATTGACGAATCAGAGTCGTCGGACCGCCCGGTTGACTACGCTGACTGACTAATCAGTAACGTCGGGCCGCCCGTGGTCGAATACACTGACCGATCATTTCGGCCTCGGAGGCTCACCCATTTGCGGCTTTTTCTTTTGGTTATTTTTGCCAAAAATATGAATTTTTCGGTCGGATTTTTTTGGAATTTAACCTTCCTGGCAACACAATCCTCTTGTTTGTTTCAGGTTACCTTCAAAATTGCCACAATCAACAAATTTGTACGTTATGTTCACGTGTTTTGCCGTGGAAATTCCAGTTTCATCCCGATTCTTTGCTAACCAAATTCCTTTTTAACCTTTAATAACACCTGGTCTATTTAGGCAACTTACGAAGAAGATTTCTAATATAAGATTTACCACAAACTACCAGTTCATCACATCCATAGATTTAACCAGTGAATATTGCACATCTTCATCCGCTCTTTTCTGGAAATCAATAATAGTCGATTACAGTCAACCGATAGAACCAAATAGTTACATACCAGTAGAATCTGCTTCAGCTAATTTGGTCATAATCTTAACACAATACATTATTTTTATGAGTAAAATCTAATTCTTAACTCAAATGATATGAAAGACCAAATTGCTTTACAGTAAGTCGCAAGTAGAAATGCAATGTTACTATTACAACAACTTTCCGCGGTTTATAAAGTTATTTTTGTGCATCATTTGGAAAAGAACGCGTGCTATGTTGCTTCAGTTTTGAAACCAGTACTGTTTCATCAGGAAGCTTTGATTTAACAGAAGTTTGTTAGTTTTCGGCATGGCAGCATTCGTCTATCTGATGAACAATATGGCTCATCATCTTGTGCTAGCAAACGCTCCTTAACTGTACCCCAAGCAAATGCTCATAATAAAACAGACTTCAAAAGTACACCTCAATCGTCTGCAACCACTTACCGTAGATCAAAGATGCCAAATCCTTTCGCTTCAAAAGTTCAATTGAGGGAAAATAGGCTACACCACCCTGAGCCAGTTCCAATGTGCCACCTAAACAGAATGCAGAGGAATTCAAAGCCATTGAAAAACTTCATATGAAGGGTTTATATAAGCTCTCATAAAATGATGTTCATTGACGTGTTTGAGGCCGTTCATTGATAAATGAATACAGCACTCCTTTGTTTCTCCCAACAGCCTTTTAAATGGAGGAATTACCCCACCTGAATCTTGAATGCACAAAATTCTATTAGATACATTTCAACAGAATATTAGGATTAGTGCGCTTGTTGCCGGTTAATCCACTAGTAGTTTTATGAGGTACCACTCAATC